CAATAAAGTTTCACTTCATTTTTAGGAGGATATCCATACAGGTAACTCAAAACTCCCCCAAGATATAGCAATGGATGTTACAATAAGAAGGTGTTTGAGTTTATGAGATCTATAGATTGGAGTGGTGGAGGGTTGCCATTAATGGTCCAGACTTTTTATTGGTGATGGAGCTATTCCAATTTATCCTAGTTTAGAATCAGACCCAATATGTGCCATAAGGAAATGAGCAGACTGAGCCATATACAGTAGCCAAGATGGCACAGAATCATTCTCTGAGAAAGGAAGGTAAGGAAGCAGGGGAATGAAAAGAAGCCATCATTGGCAGAGCAGCTGAGGGCATAGGAAGTGATGATATCGTGGAAGTAGTTGGGAACATAGCTACAAATGGCTTTGAACACACAGTCAGTAGCATATTTAGAGGGAAAGGAGGTTTTCATCTTGAGGGTAATGTACAGCTGGGTATCCTGGCTGACTATATCAGTGTGTTGTGGAATGCTGAACAGACTGGAATTTGGACACAAGATACTTTGGAAGGCCAAGGGGAAGAAGTTTCAATATCCAAAGCATGAAGTGACAAATGCATAAATGAGTGGTTCAACAGAGTCAGTGTCAAGGATGTGGCAGACATAGGCACACAAGGGTGGTAGGGTGAACTGAAAACTTGTGAAAAGAAAAGGAGAACTCAGAGTTCAGGGAGACTAAGACTAAGGAGCTGGGAGGAGAACAGTAAGTTAGGGCCAAGATTTTTGTTTGCCCAAATGAGGTTTCTGGGATGAAATTACAAATGCTTTTAAGCTGTGTCTGCTTGTCAAAAGGTAAAAATAAGAACCATCATGTGCCCTAGAACAATGGCTCTCAATCTTTCTAGATTACCGTACCCCTTTCAGGAGGCTGATTTGTATACCCCAAGTTTCACCTCGCTTAAAAAATTACTTGATTACAAAATCAGACATAAAAGTGTCACAGCACACTCTTACTGAACAACTGCTTACTTTCTCATTTACCATATAACTATAAAATAAATCAATTGGAATATAAATATTGTACTTACATTTCAGTGTATAGTATATACAGCAGTATAAACAAATCATTGTATAAAATTCTAGCTTGTACTGACTTGGTTAATGCTCTTTATGTGGCCTGTTTTAAAACTAGACAAATATCTAGATGAGCTGATGAATTTAGAACTACTGCTCTAACAGATACATATTTAGGAAGGTGTCTTAAGGCTAGAGTTACCTCTCCAGCACTGTAGCTGCGAAGTCTCTGGAGATGCTGCCTGTGAGTCAGATGATTAGGGAGACGGCCATTTTGAAGTGGGATCCTAGGATCGATAAAAGTGGTAGCACGGCTGTTGTGGTCCACAAAGAAGGACTGTAATAAAAAGAATACTGTAAATTCATAAGCAGAAAGCTAACATGGTGAAAGAGTTTAGGGATGAGAAAGGAGCACACAAACTCATCAGTGAATAGTGTGCATCGTATGCCACATTTTGCAACCATGATAGTTCACAATTTATAGTTTCATGAGCTATTAATCCAACATCATACAGTGACCCATTTCAAACAAACTAATCTGCCAACTTCCCAGAAGTTCATTCATACTGGTTTATTTAAAATCAGCCAGTTCCCTTTTGGAGTTTGTCCCTCATTTCTAGATGCAATGCCACAACTCCAGCTGTGAACATACTGATTATGCTTTAAAAGCCCAATTTGCTAAGGTGTTGAGTGCCTCCTGCCAGGTGCTGGCACCCTTAATTACCAAAGTCAGTGGTTCTCAGCATCACACAGGACTTGACCTTTAGATTTCAGCATAACTTCTTTCTAGATGGACAACCAAGAGCTCGATAGCATGTGCCTCTTGGCAAAAAGAGCTGAGTGTTTACAACTGCTAATGAGCTTCAACTCAGCCCCACAAATCAAGCCTTAGTCTGGTAATTTCTTAGCCTTGCACTTGCATTTTCTGGAAAACTAGGGAAAAGTTCTGCCTTCAAACCCCATGCAAACCTCATTTGTGGGTGTTTGGGCTATGTTTTGGTTAGTCTCATTATTGACAGGGCCCATTTCTCCTCTCAGTTGCACTGACATAAATCAGATATAACTCTTCTGAAATCAGTGCTACAAAACTGCTAATCAGATCCATGCATCTGAGAATGAGGGAGAGGTATTCAGTATCCCAAAGGATGAGGAAGAGGTATTTTGACAGAGTGTTCCTTTTCAGTATTATTAAGTCAAACATTATAATTCTAAATAAGGTCAGATATAACTCTTCTGAAATCAGTGCTACAAAACTGCTAATCAGATCCATGCATCTGAGAATGAGGGAGAGGTATTCAGTATCCCAAAGGATGAGGAAGAGGTATTTGATTAGTGGGGGTTTTTTTGGCTCAGCAATAGCTGGTAGAGCAATTTACAATCCCGGATGCAATCATGAATCACACCACACTTCTTAGTCTCCTTGTGTGATGACAGATAAAAGCATAAAGAATGGCCTTTCCAGGGGCTAAACTTAGGACAGAGGCTTTTTTTTATTATAATGAATAATTACACATGCTCATTGATATACAATCAGATAGTCGAAAATGTTAAGTCCACATAAAACCCAAAACAATCATTTAGCTGGACCTCGTGTGACATTAGGAGGATATGGGAACTCACCCAGTGGCTAATTGTGTTGATGCTCTTACCTTGCCCTGTTGGTCTGTTTTGATCTCCCAGCCCCGTGGAAGTTCCAGTCGGGTGTCAGCAAACATATTGATAAAATTTACCAGGTCCCTATTGTGCTGATAGCGCTCAAAATTCCGAGCATCTCTGCGGATCTTTAGAATCATGTGCTTCAAGCAGGTGCTGTTGGTGAAGACTCGATAGGCACTCTAGGCACAACAAACACAGGACAAAGAAATAAGTTCCAGTGACTCAAAAATGAGTTTAGCTAGCAGATATGACATACAACCTTAAGGCCTCATGCAAATCCCACTAAAATCGACTGCAATCCGCCTACCAATTCCAATGGGCTTCGGATTAGGTTCTAAATGAAGATTGACCAATTGCCACCTGGAAATTTGAAAATTCCATACCTACATGCATAGTGGCTAATAGCACCAAACTGTCAGATATGCAAGAGTGCGTATTTCTTCAGTATCAAACATCTGAAATAAATGCAGTTATGTTTATTTCACTGATCACATATTCAGAGAGATGCATCGCTTGTGTGAATGTATGATACCATACATATATAAAAACATTCCTGAAAATATAAGTATCACTAATGGAGCAGAGATATTCAGTATTGATTAACTGTATCTCACAGAAGCATGCACAGGCCCTGATCTTACAGTTGGGATTCATCTGTAGGTATCTCACGGCAGGATCAGGGCCCCAAATGGGCCATGTTCATCCATGATAAATTACTCTTGTAATGGCAACTCTTTGCTTCACCCTGGAACCCTTCACTCCGGGGAGGATGCTCCCCAAGGGAAAGCAGGCAATCTTACCATTACCTGTTCTCTTTTAGGGGCTATATCAGGGAGGACACATGAATTTCTGGTGTGGGGCTCTAATGGAAGTTATTGAAGGAATGTGCTGCCTTCGTACATTCTCAAGCTTCAGTGGCTGGGCTACTCCCTGTCCATGCGATCCTCTTTTGGGGTCATACTGATTCACTGAGGGCCCCTCACTGACTCCAATATTGCTACTTCACATATATGTAGATGTAAACAAAGGCAGAATCTGCCCCAGTAATTTTGAATTTTTTGCCACCTGTGCTTTTAAAGGCATTTTAAAATGTTATTTTAATTATTATTTAATTTACAACAGCATCTAGAGGGTCCCATTGCACTAAGTACTGTGCAAACACAGAGATAGATATGGTCCTTGCCAAGAAGATGTTACAACCTAAGAAAGATTTTTGAATGCAAATATCTGAAGTCCTAGCATACTACACAGAAGAAGTTATATCATCATCTGCTACAACTGACCATTTCAGTATCACTAGGGAAACTTAGAATTTCATACAGTTTTATCCCTTCAGGGATATAAAATATTTGTTAAACAAGTGTTTCTATTTTAGCTTTTACTGTGGGATAATATTTTCCAATTCAAATTTCTCTGGCTTAAGTAGCACTTCTAAATTCTAATTGGAGTTAAAATGTTTTAATGGCGTAAGTTATATGGTACACTATTTTTACACAAATGGATTGTGTATTGACTGACTGGACAGATGTGCTGATAAGTTGACAGTATTCCAAAATAACACAGCACTCGTCTACACCACAAGCCTTTATTTTGAAATAATGTTGAACTGGAGAACTTCTTATTCCAACTCATAGATAATTTCATGAGGAGGAAAGGAAGTCAAAGGAAGTGAGTTCTTTCTTTGACTTCCTGCAGTATAGACAGTGCCAAAAGCTGAATTAAGCTATTTCTACTTAAGATACGCAATTGACGTAACTGAAGTTGTGTAGCTTAATTCAACTTTCGCCCTGCTGTGTTGAGGTACCCTTTGGGAGAAATCCCATCAGCATTAGTCATGGATTAGCCTCAAAACATTCAGAAGTGGTGTCTGGATGTTTATCCAAATATTATCCAAATCTCTTTTGTATACAAAACACTGGATATCCCAGAGAGATTTTTCAGATTTCCTGTTACCTGTTAGCCCAAAGTTAAACTTTTACTGGATGTCAGTTTTCATTCCCAGTTGCAAGCGGGAAGAGAAGTTCATTCCAACAATGGGGAAAGAAAAGTTACTAATATTTTTCCAAACCTATGAGAAGTTTTGTTCTGGCTTGTGGTAGGGTCAGTTCAATTCTTATTTTATCCAAAACAGCTGTATCATTCTTAGTCTGTAATTTCACACTGGTTGCTAGCTTGTGCCCGGCTACTTGAATGCAAGCTAACTGAAGAGAATTGAAGCTAACTGAAGAGAATGCAAAAAGCCTCCCCTCTTTTCCTGGCCTTGTACAGCTACTGGATCCACTAGATGTTTCTGGACACCTTCAGGGGTGGAAAAGGGATGGGGAGAAAGCAAGGCTGTGGCCCCAGCTCCCTCTGCCCAAGACAGTAGAACTGGCTAGATACATGGGGAGTACACTGCACCTTCTGAAAGGGAATTAGTGCAGACAGGCCTGTGAGGTGCCACGGAATCCCTCTCTGAGGCAGAATCCCCTCAAGAGTTCCCTATCGGGTAGTATGAGAACTCAACATCCAGCTTGGTCCAGTTCCTATAAAGGACAATTGAGTTAATTATGTGTCCCCTTGGGTCCTGGGTTAGTGTAACTTGCATGTAAATGGAAGAGAGGTTAGGCTGGAGCCTGAGTTTGAACCATGGGCTTACACTGCAGCGTAGACATACACACTGTGCACTCTGATGAGAAGTCCAGGGCTCTTCACTTTGACCTGGAAGGCAAGTGTGAGAGACAATACTGGTGCTTACATAGTTTGCATGCAGCACGGTGAAGAATTCAGGGTTTGTGATAAACTTTACAGCTGGAGACTGTAGCAGCAAGGTGATTTTTTGAGAATTCACTGGAGAAAGGGACCCTTCTCGCCTAATTTCTGAAAATAAAAGCAAAACAATTGACTAGTACACATAACAGAAAATACAACACTGTTAGTGTCATTCTTATCTCCTCTCCCAGTACCAGCAGGACCACCCCATAATATTGCTCAACATCTCTGAAAGTGAGGCTTTGGTCATCAAAGTGACTATGTAAAAATGGCTCCCATTTTTTTTGTAGAATATCTACTCACACGTATGACAAGAGTTTTCCCTGTCAGTACTGCAGGGCCAATACAACTACAGGAATGAGAGTGAGATGATTTTCTATATTGCATGTTAGAAAATCTGGGCCATATCCTTAGCTGGCATAAATCAGCATAGCTCCATTTACTTCAAGAAATCAATATAATCACATTAGTTTATATCAGCTGAAGATCTGGTCCAGGATTGTCAGCTAAGTTCTGACTGTGAAATCTTTCTTACTGTTGATGAGTTTAGAGTTGAAAGGATACACATTGGCTTTGTCTACACTATGGCTACATCTACACTGGCACCCTTTTCCAGAAATGCTTAAAACGGAACAGTTTTCCGTAATAAGTATTTCCAGAACTAGCGCGTCTACATTGGCGAAGCGGGGATTTAAATATCCCATGCTTCATTTTCATAATCACATCATGGCGCTCTTTTGAAAAAGCGCCATTTTGAAAGTAAAACAGCGGTCTAGATGTGGTTCTTTTGAAAATGGCAGGCTTTTTCGAAAGATCCTGTACTCTTGTCTAGACCACGTTTTTACTTTTGAATGGCGCTTTTTTGAAAGAGCGCCATGACGTGATTATGCAAATGAAGCAAAGGATATTTAAATCCTTGCTTCATTTGTAATTTTGAAGTGTCTAGTTTACATCCCTCTGTTGAGAGAGGGATGTAGTCTAGACACAGCCTATGAGTTTTTCTGCAAGAGGCAATGCAAATAAAGCATTGAATAACATTTTCCCGTGCTTCATTTGCATACTCTCTTTCGTTCCATTTTTGCGCAAAAACAGGCAGCATGGCCATGGTCGTTTTGCACAAAAATCCCTTTTTCCTCAATATCCTTATGCTTGTCCGAGCCATAAGGATCTTGCGGAAAAAGGGTTTTTTGCGCAAAACGGCCACGGCCACACTGCCTGTTTTTGCGCAAAAACCCCTAGCGCAAAAATGGAACGAAAGAGAGTATGCAAATGAACTGCGGGGAAATGCTAATCTGCCCTTCATTTGCATTGCCTCTTGCAGAAAAACTCATAGTGTAGCCGTAGCCATTAGATTTTGGACTCTGATCTCAGTTTGCAGCACTGGTGTTTTTAAACCAAAATCAATTTTTGATTTATAATCTGAAAAAATCTGATGTGGAAGTCATCAAGAGAATGAATATAGAACTGCATAATATAATTTTGACAGTCACTTTTCTATCTATAATTACACCTTATCACATTCTTCACACATCCATGTTAATTTCCCTTTAAATTAAAAAGTTGGTAGCAAATGCAACATCTTTTTTTTAAATTGTGTGATTTATACCATAGTTTAGTCACTTCATTATTTGTACTTTATGCATGGCTTTTCATGAGAAAGAAACTGATTTTTCCTCTCTCCACAGCCAAACACTATATTTAGCCAAGGGCATTTTGAAAAGGCACATGCCACAGATGATAGCTCTTTTTTATTAAAAAAAAGGAAAGAAAAGCCATATTAAATCAAATCTAACCATCATTTATGAGAATGATTCCTGGCAGCATTCTTGATTTAATATTTTATTATGTAAGTAACCATAGTAATACTGTACATATGTAACAGCAATACTGTATGTCTACTGCAAATACACATCCAACTTAATATTATAAGTAATATAAGTAGTAATAGAACACAAATCATAAATCATTTCCATCTCAGTTAACTATTAGCAGTGGGATCACATTTGATTTTCCATATAGAAGTAGTCGGCTAAACTGAGTCATAAAAATTGCAATCCAAATGAATACAAAAGTGGTTATATATCATGTGAAATATGTTTAAGACTTATAATAACTTTAAAGTTAAGACTTATAGTGACTTTAAAGGAAAAAGAAAAATGTTTCAGGCTAATAATAGCATAAATTAAATAATTAACAAAGCTTTTTTTTTCTTTAAAGCACAGATTAAATATTCACTCTGCATAGTCATTCCTCTTCCAGGAGACATAAAAGGAACTGAATCATAGGCAATGCATGCTATTTCCGGCTAATAAAGACTAGCCAAACACAGGAGAAGGAGGAAATGAAGTGATATATGTAATAACAGACATCATTAAGTGGCTGCCCAGTGTGAATTTTTGGATTGCCTGCTCAAGTTGCAGGCACAAGTTTAACCAACTAAATATATGCCCATTTTTTGTGTCTACAAAATGAAATGAAGGCACAAGTCTGAGTGCTTGTGTTTCTCTCCATGTGACTTGTACCTGCAACCATGTATTTAGGGATGCAAGCACTCAGCTGTGCACTTAGGGCTCGTCTACACTGGCCCCTTTTCCGAAAGGGGCATGTTAATTTCACAGGTCGTAATAGGGAAATCCGCGGGGGATTTAAATATCCCCCGCGGCATTTAAATAAAAATGTCCGCCGCTTTTTTCCGGCTTTTAGAAAAGCCGGAAAAGAGCGTCCACACTGGCCCCGATCCTCCGGAAAAAAGCCCTTTTCCAGAGGATCTCTTATTCCTACTTCAAAGTATTACTATGGTTCAAAGTAGGAATAAGAGATCCTCCGGAAAAGGGCTTTTTTCCGGAGGATCGGGGCCAGTGTGGACGCTCTTTTCCGGCTTTTCTAAAAGCCGGAAAAAAGCGGCGGACATTTTTATTTAAATGCCGCGGGGGATATTTAAATCCCCCGCGGATTTCCCTATTACGACCTGTGAAATTAACATGCCCCTTTCGGAAAAGGGGCCAGTGTAGACGAGCCCCCCGAGCCTTGGGAAAGCAGAGAACAGTGGAGCAAGCGCACTCGCCCAGTAAGTTCAGCTTCCCCTCCTGTGCCTGCTGTTGTGGGGAGTGCAGGAGGCAGAACCGCTGCCACCTTGCAGTGCCAGACCTCCACCTCACTCGAGTTATCCACCAAACTGCGTCCTCAGGAACAGGGCTACATTGTGGGAGAAAACAGGGTAACAGACAGCTTCCCCCCTCCTGTCAGGAGTCCTGGGCTGGATTACACAATTACTCCGGCCAGAGGGAATTTGAGACCACTGGCCTAGACCAAGTTTGTTTGCAGTGCAGTTGTAGCTGTGTCCGAGGATATTCAAGAGAAATAGCGGGTGAGAAAAAATCTTTTATTGTACAAGTTGTACCTCCAAAAACTGGCACTTTCTTGTCAGGCAACATCCGTTATCTTGCAGGATCATGGATGCTCCTGGACTAGATTGCCAGTGAGCCTAAGGGCAGGAGGGCCATCCTGGCTGGGGGCAGCACGAGACTGGGGCTGGATTCCCACAGCAGTCTCCAGCAATCCGCAGCAGCACCTGCAGCAGCATGGATTGGTGCTGGGTTGGAGCCTCGTAGCAGCCCCGGAGCCCCACAGCAGCCCCCGGGAGCTCAGGGCTGAGGCCAGAGCCCCATACCAGCATGGGACCAGAGTCCTCTAGCAGCTTCTTGGAGCATGGGGCTGGAGCCAGAGCCCCACAGCAGTCCCCTGGAGCACAGGGCCAGAGCACTGTGGCAGCCCCAGGAGTGTGGGGCTGGAGTTGAGCCCCACAGCAGCACCATGCTGGAGCCCTGCAGCAGCCCGTGGGAGTGTGGGGCTGAACTGGAGCCCTGTGGCTACCCCTGAATGTGCAGCTCCTCTGCTGCCTAGCAACCCATCAGCAGCTGGGTGAGCAGTCCAGCCAGGCTGAGGGAGGGCAAGGCAGGGTGCCTGCTGGGACAGCCTGACACAGCAGGCAATGGGCTGAGGAGGCAGTGGAAGGAGACCTTCCCGGGTCCAGCAAATTCTCTTGTTTGGAACCAGTCAGGTCCTGAAATTAGTAGAGTAAGAGATTCTCTCACACACCTTGTCTAGAAAAAAATGGTAATGTGCTAAAATTAAGTTTGTCACTAAGAGGCATTGTTTGTAATCTTTCCAATCTCTTTTAGTCATACCTGAGATTGTTTAAACCTATCTTCTTTGCTAATCAACATTCTTATTTTATTACAAAAACATCTTAGTGCATTGCATTAAATTGAGGGATGGGTCCTCAGCCAAATTAGCAGGCTGGTGTGCACTCTCTTTGTTTGAAGGCAGCAAAACCAGTAATGTGAAAGTTCAATGAGAGAGACTGGTCACTGTGGGGAGATGGTTTTGGGAAGACAAGTAACCATGTTGGTGGGAGCCAATCGTGAAAGTAACTTAAAATTTCTTACAGGTTCGGTCCTGTTGCAACCTGGGTCTCTGTCAGCTCTGTAAATAGCTCCCTGCTGGCTTTTGCTGCAGCTCAGCCAGCTCTTGCCAGAGTTGCGCACCAGGGAGCACCCACTTACTTTTAGATCTGGTTGGGGCCAGACTGCTGGTCTCAAGGCTCTGAGCTAAACTTGCACTGACTGATCTGGGTGAAACCCCATAGTATCACATTATCACCAAAAATTAGCTACTGTAACTGCAAGCTTGAGAAAACAGACACTTTCTCCTTTTTCCTGTACACTGCCTACCCATGATCCCAGCTGATAGCCCGGAAGTTGCTCCTGATCTTGACCCAGGGCTCCGCAGCCACGCCCAGCTGTGGCCCCAGCCTGTGGCAGTGAAGGGCATGGACTGAGGAAAAGGAGGTGCAGCTCCACTCCTGCCCCCTAAAAATTGCTCCAGCATTACTGAGGTGCTGTTACTAGCTTCCTGTTCTTATACCTGAGTTTGGCTGGGAAGAGTCTGTCTCAGAGTCACTTCCTCCTCCAGTGGAGAGCCTCTCAACTCTGTTGTTCACAACAGCATCATCCTCTGGCCTCTCTGTTGCAATAGTCCGCTGAATATTTTGATACCTGAATATTTTAAGAGAAAGAACAAAGGTGCTTTAGCTATAAGTTTTAGAGGAATAATGGTACAAAGCATTTTGCTATTCACAAATGTGCCTCTGTCTTTCTTAACAAAAGTTGGAACAATCAATATTTTTGAACAATTAAAATATTACTAAAATCTGTGTATACTTTATAAGCACTATTGGGACTGATCCTTCCCTGTTTTGCACATATGCAAAACACCAGATCAGAATGGTGGGCATTATACACCCATATTCCACAGGGACCAGTGACTATACATGGTACAAGGCAGGGAAGAGTCAAGCCCCCATTTGTCATAGGTTAACATAATCAATCACACAGGGCCTGATCTTGTGGGTGCCAAGTGTCCCTGATTCCCAACAACTGCAATAGGAGCATGTTCAGTGGGCTCAGCGCTTCACAGCCTTGGCTCCATATGCATTATTCATTTAAAAAAAATAACTATTATTATTCACCATATTTAACATGTTCCCTGCCCTGGGCACTGTACAAATACAGAATAATGGACTATCTCTGCCCCAAAGAGCTGACAATCTAACAGAGAAAACTGAAATGGGGGTAGAGGAAAAGGTGTAAGACACAAACAGAGTGAGCAACATAAGGGCAGGATAAGTCATGTTAGTTCCTTGCTTTTCTGATGTGTGTGTATGGATTGAATGAGGTGGTGATAAGCTAAATGGAATGCTGGAGGGAAAGGGTTGTTGAAGGAGACAGAGCAGTGTTTAATTTGTGCCAGGGCTTGTCAGGGCTTAGCTCCGGCACCTCTAGGCTTGGCACTTTATAACTCCAGCACCTCTGGGCTTGCTGCATCAGTTATGGCACCTCTTTCATTACACATTAAGCTCCTGGAGAAAGCCAGTGAGAACAAGGAAAAAAACAAGGAAGATAGAAAAGAAGGTGTGGAATGAAGCTTTTAAAACCTTTTTCTGTTATGGCAATTTCATGTTGATTGACTACAATGAGACTAGTCATGGGCGTAAAGTTAAGCAGGTGCTCAAACATTTTGTTGGATCAGGGCCAAAGTGTTCATTATTGCAGGTTTGAGTCCCATAAAATATGTTCTATTTTATGTGTTTAGTATACTTAAAATATGCAGCATATAGTACTACTTCTATGTACTGTAAAACAGAGATAAATGAGAGAAGTCAATCCTGTGGTAGTCATACTGATGACCCATTTGTTGAATATTTGACAGACTAACAGTGAGAGAACCTCCAGAGATTCTAACACTTATGTTCATCCCATCTTGGGATTCTGATAATGTATGACAAAAATGTGACAAATTATAGAAGTTATGTAATGATAAATATTTTTAAAAATAGATATATATATCTTGTCAATTATTTTAACTGGCTTCTTTCCCACCCTGATATTTTAATGAGATACTTTTTGTGGTCTCATTTTCATTAACTCTCAGCATTCATAATGGGCCAGATCCCCACCTGGTATTAATCCATGTACAGTAGCTAATAGTTTCATTGATTACCGGTATATCAGATCTAGCCCAAAGTTTTTTGTCTTTCTTTTTTCTTGGTCTCTTTCATCTGTGTGACTCAATTTCTCAATTTTTTCAGGATTTTTAAAAACATTTATTCCAAGTTAGATTTTGGCCTGAACTCCAGGGGTTAATATTTTATGGCATCTCTGAAGACTAGTAATCTGGACCTTTATTTTACACTCCATTTAAAAGACAGAATCTCCAGTAGCATACTAACTCTCAAAAGGTTACTGGAATTTGGCAAAATTATGGAAAATGAGTGATAATTTAATGGATTTATAGTCGACTAACAGTAGTTTTCATTTCCCTCGATATTCAAAGTTTTTCTTTAATGTAGCTTTTAATAGCTCAATAAATAACATATGTAGAATTGGTTTAAAAAGTAAGAAAACTGGGAATTTTTATTTTTAGATAAACATACACCTTAAAAGTAAATTATTATAGCATATTGAACAACTACATTTATTTACTTCTACTTCCCCACCCTCTATTTTATAACAAGCTTTTAATATTTTATTCACTTGACTGTAGGCTAATTGAGTAAACTTTCCACTCCAGTACTGTAGAAGTTTTACAACACCCTCAAGCAACAGCAGAGCAGAAAAATAGTAGTTAATATAGCCAAAAGTTTTTTATATATAGTAACTGTAGCTTCTATTTAATTAGATGTTAGAAAATCCCCTGCTGGCAAACTTTACACTGTAATGCTAGCTGTATGCCAAACACAGACTACTTTTTTTTGGTCTTGATGCTGTAAAATAGTCTTATATAAATACCAGAAAATGCCAATGCAATTGTAAAAAAAGCTTTGAAAGGGCTAAAATTATGGGAATGCATTTGAAAATCACAGACCCTTTTCAGAGTGATTCATCAAAGAAATGGTGGTTTAGAAAAAACACACTAGAGATTGTTTTTGCTTTACCTTTATTATTTATTGTGTTGTTTATTGTTATTATTCATATAAAGACAAGTTTAGTTTCACAAATGATGCATATCGCAGTTTGACCAGATCACTGTGGATAATAAATCATGTTGTGTAATTTGAACAGCAGTGGATGTTAACTATTTTAGTAACATGGAGGCAAGGAGTGATATAGTAAAGGAAGAAGACTCTTCTAATAAAAAATAAAGGGATGTTTGCCTGGAACTTATCCAAACTTTAGATCCTAATCCTGTATTCCCTATACTGACAAAATGCCCCATTAAAGTCACTGGGAATCTGCAAGTACCTACAGAATGAAGGATTAGGTCCTTGCAACCCTTTTTAAAACTAGGTTTCCAGTACTCCGTGGTTTTGCCTGGGCTGAAAATACCAAGCTTTCCCAGTGATATTTGTTGATATTTCCACTCCTTGTCCCAGATGAATCTGAGAAGTGGGAAGGTGAACAGATTTGTCTGAAAAGAGAGTAGACAGATTTTTTTCAAACATCAAAGGTTTTGAGTTCTATTTTATGAAGTTTACAGCTAAAGTTCAGGCTGATTTTAATTTTACCATCCAAGCTCTTTGTGTTGTGAGCAAGACACAAGAAGTCATTCTTCTGCTTTACTCTGCGCTGATCAGGCCTCAGTTGGAGTGTTGGGTCAAGTTCTGGGCACCACATTTCAAGAAAGATGTGGAGAAATTAGAGGAGGTCCAGAGAAGAGCAACAAGAATGATTACAGGTCTAGAGAACATGACCAATGAAGGAAGACTGAAAGAATTGGGTTTGTTTAGTTTGGAAAAGAGAAGACTGAGAGGGGACATGATAGTGGTTTTCAGGTATCTAAAAGGGTGTCACAAGGAGGAGGGAGAAAAATTGTTCTCCTTGATCTCTGAGGCTAGGACAAGAAGCAATGAGCTTCAACTGCAGCAAGGGAGGTTTAAGTTGGACATTAGGAAAAACTTCCTAACTAGCAGGGTGGTTAAACATTGGAATAAGTTGCCTAGGGAGGTTGTGGAATCTCCATCTCTGGAGATATTTAAAGCAGGTTAGATAGGATAGTCTAGACAGTACTGGGTCCTGCTGTGAGACAAGGGGACTGGACTTGGTGACCTCTCGAGGTCCCTTCCAGTTCTAGTGGTCTACGATTCTATACAGATGTCTCACCTAGAAATGACTTTCACGCAGTTACCAAAAACTGTTCCAGGTAATGAGGACGTACAATAACAAAACTTTAAAAAAGGGTTGTTGAAAATAATATTCAAGCCTAAGCAGTGGTTTTCAACAACCACTTAAGAAAAGGTTCTCCCACAAACTGGTAATCCAAATTACCAGAATTTATTAAAGAGTTGATCCTGAATCCTGTTTCGGGACAGGGATAATTCCTCTATTTTACCTCTCCATAAACTCAATAATATCTCCATAAAATATTAAAATACAGAGATTGCTGCAATGACCAATACATATCCCTTTTGCTGGAATTTTTAGAAATATCCATGGCTACAAATATACAAACATTGGCATTACAAGAGATGCCTCCTGGTGGGCTAGTCAGCATTTTTACTTAATGGGGCTCTTTTACAGCAGAGATTAAAGAATTACCAGATGGCTTTTTTGTGCGAAGAAACCAAGGGATTGCACAATTACTCAGTTGTAACGTGCTCAATCTCCACTGGGAATCAAGTGAGGAGAAATATGCTTCTAATGAAAATCTCCACTTCTCACCATGTATCATGAGTTTACAAATGCTAAAAAGAAAACCATATGCAGAGGAGCAGCAAGGTATATTCTTGGCTTACTTGCCGTGCACTAAATAGTTAATAATCAGACCCTACCCAAACTTGGGTGGCAAGAAAGGAATCAAACTATAAGAAAACATGGAAATTTAAAATGTAAGTCAAGAATGTCTCATCAGTGGTTCTCAACAAGGGGAACATTGCCCCAAGGGGTAGGCAAAGGTCTTCCAGGGGTGTATCAACTCATCTAGCTATTATCCCAGTTTTATAACAGGCTACTGAAACAGCACTAATGAAGTCAGTACAAGCTAAAAATTCATACAAAGGCTTGTTTATACTGCTCTATATACTGTACATTGAAATGTAAGTACAGCATTTATATTCTGGTTGATTTATTTTATAATTATACAATAAAAATGAGAAAGTAAGCAATTGTTCAGCAATAGTATGCTGTGAGACTTGCATTTTTGTCTGATTTTGTATGCAATTAGTTTTTCAGTGAGGTGTTAACTTGGAGGTACGCAAGACAAATCAGACTCTGAAAAGGGTACAGTTGACTAGAAGGGTTGAGAGTCATGACTTAGGTCGTGTCTACACTGGCACTTACGTTGGCACCCCTGAGTGGCATACGTTTTGCCGGCATAAGTACTTATGTCCACAGTGCTATATCAATGGAAGACACTCTCCCGCCACCAGAGCTACCACCTCTCATGAAGCTGGCTTTATTATGTTGACAGGAGAGCTCTTCCCTATCAGAATAACATTGTTACAAACTCTTTTACAGTGACACAGCTGTGCTGCTGAAAGCTCGTAGACATGGCCTCAGTGTATTGTCTATTAACCTGAGCTAGCAAACATAATTGTCATTTCCAGTTTAGACACTCACCCTTGGACTGTTTAGAATAAATTTACAGTAGTACTAGTTAGCTTGGCTTAATTGACAATCAGTTAATTGACAACACAACAAAAAACTTTAACTTGCAAAGGCCTTTAATGACTGAAGACAACATCTATCGAATTCACTGCGAAGAGTTTCTAGAAATGCCTGTCTTTTCTTTATAATTTAATATGGTAACTTGGCACCTTCTGAGGAAAATTATAATAAAAACAAACTATTGCAAGTTCTTGCCATTGTAAACAAAACACCATATGCTAGTCAGACTCCCACTCTGTGCCCAGCATGATAGGTTTGAAGAGAAAAGGAGGACATTTCCTCACGGGGCCTGTTTGTGATCTATTTTGCATGATGCACATTTTCAGAAAGCTGGTTAGCCCAAAGGAAAACTCCCAGATGGTTATCATCTGCAACCATTTTGTCCATACAAAGGCTCTAAGTAACTCCCATCTTTTCCTACCATGGAAAGGAAAGCCATTGAAGCACATTCTCTCTCTCCTAGCTTGGCACACTGAAGATCACCAAATGATGTTTTTGAAGTACTAGAGAAACCCAAACCAGCCTTCATGCCATTTTAAAGCATATAATTAGAGGATAACAATTTCAGTCTTTCTTGTTTAAATAAGACTCTGTATCATTACGGTAAGTAGGGGAAGAGGATGAGAAAATGTTTTCTGAGGTAATAGTGGAAGTTCATTGCCCAGCTATATATTTAGTTTATTCTTCTCCCCTCAATTTAATCTGAAATGCAAGGAAAGAAAGAAAACTGTTAACAAATCTGTGTGTAAAGTAATAGTTGCTGTCAGTGACAAAAGCGCCCTCATTTGAAGGGAGACATCCTCTCTCTGGAGATTCATTTTATGGAAGTGTTTCTAGTCTCACCCTACTGTGCAAAGGGCTTTACAATGTCTTTCAGTGGGATTCTCATTGACACCAGTGTTCCCTCTCATTTTTTCCATCTATCTGCGGAATACATATTATTATGTGCAGTGATTCATGTGCTGTTGTATACCATCTGTGGGGACAAAAACTATATTATATATATATTTTGTAAGTTACCATATGGATAATTACTCCAGCCAGAACAGGCTAAGAATTTTAGAACTCAGTTCTCAAAGAATTAAATTTAAGTGCAAGAGACGTAAAAATTACGAAATGCATTAATCAGCCAAAACACTAAAATAACACACTTGGAAAGAATAAAATTGCAGAGAATATATGTGCATTGCAGGAAGTACCAAGGAGTAACAACAACAACAACAACACTACAAATATGTGTTGGGAGGTGAGTGTGAAAGAGACTTTGTGTGTGTGTGGGTGTGAGAGAGAGATAAAAAAGACTGTGGTGTACATGTATGCGAGTGTGCATTGGCATGCATGTTTGACATAAGATGGGGTATGCGCTGGCTGCTGCTGGATATGTGTCTGAATAACCCTATGCAGAGTCTCCTGAAGATACTGAAAGCTGTCCTCTTCTGTTCTTGAGCCCTGTCATCTCCTCTGCTCTTCAGAGATGGGGTACATGGACGGGGATGGGAGAGAGAGAGAAAGAGCATGTGAGCGACAGTGGAAGACTGTGTGTGTGTGTGTGTGTGTGTGTGTGTGTGGGCGAGAGAGAGAGAGAGACCTAGCTGCTGGGAAAAGCTGTGTGAGCTAGCTGCTGGGAAAAGCTCAGGTTAAACAGTACACTGCCTCTTTAAGAAAGAGACCCACCCTTCACAACAGATCTCAGAGCACAGCAAGAGTATCAAGCTAGGCTCTGTCCCCTGCACACACTCACCCCCAGTCTGAGGAGATGGGATACAGGAGCAGGGGGAGAGAGAGAGATTCATGCTACATCAAAGCTTTTGAGCCATGCTGATACCAACAGATAGTTGGTGCTTCCCAATGCGTGGTACTGGTCCACGTGGGAACCACTACTGCCCTATACTGAGGACATATCCCAGCTGCATGACATAACACTCAGCCTGCAGCTCTGGTGGAGAACAATTATGAAGGGAGATTCTCAGCAAGTAGAGCTGTGTTTTTCCTGACCTCCTCTCTGAACAGCTCCCACGAGACTGGGATAAGTGTAGCAGTTGGAGGGGCATAGTGCAGATCTAGAAACAGGAGCACTTCAAAGTTGTGGGGCTATAGCCTGAGTTCTGAGGTCGATTGCTTGACATCCCTTCATGTTCTCACCCAGGCCATCTGTCCTCTGCTCTCATAGATAAAACAAAATACAGGACTATGTAGCACTTTAAAGACTAACAAGATGGTTTATTAGGTGATGAGCTTTCGTGGGCCAGACCCACTTCCTCAGATCAAATAGTGGAAGAAAATAGTCGCAACCATATATACCAAAGGATACAATTAAAAAAATTGTATCCTTTGGTATACATGGTTGTGACTATTTTTTTCCACTATTTGATCTGAGGAAGTGGGTCTGGCCCACGAAAGCTCATCATCTAATAAACCATCTTGTTAGTCTTTAAAGTGCTACATAGTCCTGTATTTTGCTTCAGCTACATCAGACTAACACGGCTACATTTCTATCACTATAGATAAAACAGATACTCTGAAGGATCCTGCCTCCCTCCTTTTCCCCACCACCTGCCCTGATCCTTTGCATATGTGATGGAACAAAAAGTTAAGGGAAGCCATTATTGGACCAACTTCTTTTGAGGGAAGGGACAAGCTTTTGCACTCCACAGAATTTCTCTTCATCTTCAGGTGTGGAAAAGGAAACTAGACTATCCAAGCTAACTACAAGTTGGGACAGATTGTTAAGCATAAAGGGTTCACAGATGAGCAGCGGTAGTGTAGGCAAGGGAAGGTACTGCCTTCCCAAAACTGCCTACACATCCTGGACTCTGAGAAAGTCTGGGGCAGTAGCATGGCTGCCCGGCCACTGGGGAGGGACGGGGCAATGGCTGGGGCCAGTACTGCAGAATGGCAGCCCTGGCCCTCTAGGTGGCCAGGAAGGATCAGGTGGGGAGTGGGCAGGACTTGGCTCCAGGGGCAGGGCCTCAGCCAGAAGGGGCAGGGTTAGGGCTTGCCTTCCCCAACTGGAACTTCACCTGCTGCCCATGGATTTACACATACTGTAAGAGACCACTTAAAACTCAGCAGATGTAGGACAAGGGAATATTAGTAGGAGGTAGGGTGTGCTAAAATTTGTTGTAATAGGCCATAAAACTAATGCCTTTGTTAAATCCATGGTTTCAGTGTCCAGCAGAGTTATATATATAAGTTACCAGGCTTGTCTTTTGAAGCTGTTGTGCAGGTTTCCTTTGAGGATGAGGACTGAGCGTGTGTCTTTGTGCAATGCTCTATGTTCATTTTGTGTCTCTAGACTGTAATCTGTTTGGCCAGGCACTTGGCTATTTTTAAATACCACGTCCTGTTGTAAAGTACCATATGGACTTATGGCACTACATAAATAAATACTAATTAAAATGTACAGTGTTTCATAATTGTAAACCCACCCTGAAAGTAGCACTGAAAACTTTCAATTTATTTTGGGCTCCCAAATTGCCAGTGCTAAAAATGCCACCTCTTCTAAAGTCAGATGGTTACCGTCCACCAGCAGTAGGTTCTGGCCTGCTAAATGGTATTCAACCTTGTACCATCAAATATATCTCATGTTGGAAGTTTTAGTCATTTCAGTAACATTTCAGATGCTGGTTTGAAATAACTCAACTACCATTTCTCATTCTTAGAAGATTTTTTGGTGTTATTGTTTTGGGATTTCAGTCCAGAATTACTCACCGCCGATTGAGCTGCTCCATTTGTTGGATTGAACCAGATCTGCGTATTCCATCTGGAGTGGCTGCTGCTGTAGGACGCTGCCATGTTGTGGTTCGATTCACGTGATCCACATAAAATACCCTTCCATGGCTGTCTATCCGAGCCTCCCAGTCTAGTATTATAAAAGAAAGGAAAGGAATCTGTCACTTTGAGAAATTTCAGAAAGCTAAGATGCTCATGAGAGACATATCTACATACATACACACAAACATAAGCGCTGGCATATTGGACCAAACCAGAATTTTTCACCATTTTCTCTCTAACAGTGGCCCATACCAGAATTTCAGGGGCATATACAGAACAAGATGATCCACCCTGTCTTCCATTCTGAGATTTTGATACTCAGCAGTTCAGGGCTGCTGAGCATGGGATCATATCCCTGACCATCTTGGCAAGACTAATAGCGATTGATGGACTTCTCCATCCAGCTATGTTTTGAACCCATTTATATTTTTGGTTACCAAAACATGCTATAGTAATAAGTTCCACAGTTGTATTGCATATATGTATGTGTAGTATATACATATTATATATAAATATTACTTCACACAAAGCCTAGAGTCAACCTGTGGAATTCATGGCCACAAGCCATCAATAATGAGTGAAACACACTGGCTGTATTTAAAAGAAAAGGAGAGAGGAGCTGGATAATTCTATGAGCATTAATGTCTTTTATAGTTCTGCTTCTTGAGGCAAGTAATCAAATCACATGCTTCAGAGCATAAACATTTCCCCACAAAATCTCATGCACAACTGGCTAGATTCATTGTGGATGGAAAAACCATAAGGGATTGGTCACTGGTAGCCAGGATGCTGTACTTGATCTAATGATCTAGTGATGCAATCTGGTGTGAAATCCTGTGTTCACTTTTTTATTATGTTTCAGAATAAACACAATGAAGTGATTTTTTCTTTAAAAGCTCATAAAAGGTTAATACAGAGCAGCCTAAGCCCTCGACCAAAACTTGTCGCAGACTCTGGTTGGACATATTCTCTGAAACGTATGCATTTTTAAAAATCTATCACTCTGAAAAGGACCAGAAAGCAGAGGAAACTGATAACAAGATACTGAGCCTTCCACCCTCACATCTCTTGTTGGTTAGGTCCAGGTTGACCTAGAGCATAATCATAAGTCCCTACTCATATGCTTGTTAGCTTTCATGAAATACACTGGTGACTAAAAGCATCAAGAGCTCTGGTAAAGGTGTTAGGAGTAAGAGGTAATTTAAGAAGTGAACGAGTTAATCAAATTGCACATAAAAAGCCTTAGAATTTCTTCAGTGAAGTTGCACAAATTTGATTTGCTAACTACAATGTTGTTACATGAATATCCATTAGCTGATGATATAACAACAATACAGTGATATATATTCCATCTCCTTGGGCACATCTTTACCCTATGGGTAGGTCTACACTACAAGCCTCTTTCGAAAGAGAGTGTCTAGACTGCAACCACTTCTTTCAAAAAAGCAAGCCGCTTTTTTGAAAGCGAGCACCCAGGCAGTCTGGATGCTTTCTTTCAACAAAAGCCCTCTTTGCATTCAATAGCGCCTTTTTTCGAAAGAGCACTTTAAAAAAAAAGGTGTTATTCCTCATAAAATGAGGTTTTCCCTGGTTGAAAAAACTGCTGCATTCTTTCGATTTAATTTTGAAAAAACACAGTAGCAATCTAGATGCAGGTGAAGTTTTTTCGAAAAAAGGCCACTTTTTTTAAAAAAAAACCCTGTAGCGTAGACACACTCTAAGGCTACATCTACACTGGCATGATATTCCAAAAATGCTTTTAATGGAAAAGTTTTCCGTTAAAAACATTTTCGGAAAAGCACATCTAGATTGGCAGGATGCTTTTCCGCAAAAGCACTTTTTGCGGAAAAGCGTCCGTGGCCAATCTAGATGCGGTTTTCTGCAAAAAAGCCCTGATCGCCATTTTCACGATTGGGGTTTTTTTGCGGAAAACACTACTGTGCTGTCTACACTGGCCCTTTTGCACAAAAGGCTTTCGGAAAAAGACTTTTGCCCGAACGGGAGCAGCATAGTATTTCCAGAAAAGCACTGACGATCTTACATGAGATCGTCAGTGCTTTTCCGGAAATTCAAGCGGCCAGTGTAGACAGCTGGCAAGTTTTTCCGCAAAAGCAGATGATTTTGTGGAAAAACTTGCCAGTCTAGACACAGCCTATGTGTGGCAGAATCCACCCTTTTTGCGTCTGTCTCTCTGTGTTCTGCCTTAGGGCCAGGGGGTCTGGGTTCTTTCTGAACCTTCTCTTCTTCCCTCCAAGAGCAACAGAGGGCTGTGTTTTCTCCCCCTGCATCTGGATCCAGCTTCCTGCAACCAGCTACCTTCCCCCCAACACTGTGCCCGATCAGTAAGGAGACAGACCATGCTGACCAGAGCTAAGGTGACATGCCTTATCATAATGTTATTAAAAATACCTTCTTTATCCATGTATAATAGGGGTAGCTGTGTTAGTCTGAATCTGCATAAACAACGAGAAGTCCTGTGGCACCTTATAGATTAAAAGATGTATTGGAGCATAAGCTTTCATGGGCAAAGACCCACTTCGTCAGATGCATGTTTATCCCATGTGGCTGCCTGAGTTGGGGTATGGGCAAAGGCTAACCAGAATCCAACACTTTGGAGCACTGAGATGATTATCTGAACTAAATCATGACTCAGTATATCAGTGTTTCCCAATTTTATTTGGCCACGGAACCCTTTTAAATTTGAAAGAATTTTGCGGAACCCCTAATAACAGTTTTATATATGGAGCTGAAAAAGTAGACCATAAGTAAGTAAGGATAATAATAAACAAATGCTAAACAAGATCATGAGAGCAACACAAATGAAAATTGTTTTCAATAAAATTCATACATGCTTAAATATTAATTATTATATTTTTTTAAATCATAAAATGTTATTACAATGGAATTTTCTCACGGAACCCTTATTTTCACTTCGTGGAACCCCAGCATTTCGTTGAACACCATTTGGGAAACACTGCAGTATATAATGTGTGAATCCTTGGCAATAGTTTGTTCTCCATTCAAACCAGTCTACAAGAACTGTGGAAGGACCTTGGTCAGGTAGGGACTGTTGGGGAACCCTGAATTCCCAGATCACAGTTGACCTCTCCTTGCGATACATCAGTTCACATTCAGCATTCTTGCCAACCACACACACATTCACACCTCAGCAAAAAACACACAATACGTTAAGGCAGGTGCTACACACAAACCCAAGTGAACTTCATGCTGCCTGCAGACAGCATGTTACAATGCTTCTGCAGACATACTCAGGTTTCTGAGCATAAAGCATCTAGTCAAACCTGACAGCAACTGGATGTGTACAGTGTCTGAGGTCCCAGTGGAAACATCAGGTCAGGATAAAAGAGACATGGTGAAAATTCAGGGAGTGTGGATGAGAATATATTTTCTGGGAATGTTTCTCTTAGACAACCAGGGTCAGAGCATTCTGGCTTAAGAGAGCTGTGTATCCTCCTGTGACTATTCCTTCCTAACGTCATCAACGGAAGTCACTGCTGGTTGATGCACATTTATTTCCCTCCCATGTAGTATTACCACTGGGGATTAAGTAATTCAAATTGCACACAACACAGAATTTATGGTAAGATGAATGGCAGCACAGATAAATGCATGGACTGACATAGACCATCATTTTGAGCTCTGATCCAGCCCTTTATGTTGCCCCGTGACAGAAGGGGTCCCCAAATCAGTCAGGTCACTTCATGTAGGAATTATCCTTACTAGAGGGTTTCTCTGGGCAGTATAGGGCTAACACTATGACCTTACACCAGCACTCTTATAACTTCCAAATAGGGGCACACCAAGAAATAGCCCTGGATCAGGAGAAGGTGATGCCATTGCGCTCTGCACTCCAATTATCCTGGACTGGCAGCTCTTATTTACATCATGAGCAAGATTTGTCCCTAGCAGACCTGAAACCCCAGCCACCTTGTGACAAAGTCACCTTGCTCCTCTTTGCTACCCAGCCTGTGATACCTCTTCTTAGTGGTGCAGCTCAGAATCAGGACCCAAATCTTTTTCTTGGCTTCAGTATTGTGGGTTCCCATCAGTAAAAACAACTAATCATTGGACATGGCCATTAGCACTGCCATTGTGCTACGCAAACTGTGCAAAGCATACATCAGCATGGCATATGTGATGTATGCTTTAAAATCTCACATATGCCATGAAAACTCTACTACACCCATGAAATATCATGCCGCAATCTAAACAATCAAAATAGACATAAACAAAAAAATTCCTCATCCCGACTATCAGAATAAACTAAATTTTGAAGTCAGGTTGGTTTGGGGCTATGATGAAGCAAAAACCATTAAGAGAATGACTGAAAGGGGAAAAAACACCTCACTTTTTTGAATTTATAAGTCTCTCAAAAGCCTCTCACTGATTTTTCTGAAACCCCACAAAATAATCTCTCACAGCTCAAATCTGGCACATGGTATTTCAGGAGCATGGATCTATCTATGGGACTATTCGGGTAGAGTCAATACTGTCCGTATAATGGTGGGAAATTATCTTCAATCATAACTATGGACAGACACTAGCGTTTCTTCATTTTAGAAGCTATAAACTTTGCTCACTGTAAGCCTGATTTAAAATGAATAATCTCTCTCCATGCTGGTGGTTTGGGAAGAGAATGAGGGGCATTAGACACCCCCAACCCCCAAAATGCATGTCTCCGGCAGGCATGGAATTTGCCTCCCACATGTAGCCCCACTGGCCTAAATGGAGCTTCCCCAACTATAAAAGGCTATGTCTGCACTGTGAAGGTTTGGCAACAAAAGTGCTGTTGACATGCAAAAATCGACAAAAGTGAAAACTGGTCTAACAGGTTTTTCTGCCTCCCGTTGTTGACATTTCATGGCCACATTGCTAGTTCCCCTGTCAACAGAAAGAGCAAAACAATGTGGGTAAGCATCCCACAGTGTAGTGATGTGGGAAGGCAGAGCTGAGTCCTGTGCTTCTTGGGATTCTCTCCAAGTTCTCCCACAGCATTCTCAGCTACTGGGAGCAGTATCATGAGTAGCTCTGTAAGCTCTCTGTGCTGAGGAATATCAAAGCAGCACAGCAGTCTCTGGAGCACTCCCCCATAGCAGCAGTCTGCCTGCTGCTGTGTTTCTAGTAGGGCAGAACAGGAGCATTCCAGTGATTCGCTCTGTTTGTTTGCTTCCCAAATGGAGCAGCTCACTCAGCTGTCAATTATTTCCCAGAGCTTTGAAAGGGGAGGGGTACATGACTTGCAGGGCAGCAGAGATAATAGAATACTGAGAAGAGCCATCAGGGCAGGCATTGTCCGATACTGGTGGAAGCCAGTTCTCTCGACAAAACAAACAGAGCCCACACTGACTGCTTGTCGACAATAAAGGGAGGGGAAAAGACAAAAGTCTCTCACAGGGCTGGACTTTTTTATCGCCAAAACTGAGTGATTTTCCCGACAAAAGTCCCATTGTAGTGTGTGTACTCTCTCTGTTTTGTCAACAAAAGGCAATTTTTGGTGACAAAACCTGCCAGTGTAGACAAGGCCGAAGTCAAACCATGCCTTTGTCTCTCTTTCTCTCTTTTTAAAAGTGATTGAGGAATTAGGAAGTGATAAGGGTCTTGAGGCCCTGTTATTGCAACACCTGAAAAAGAAATGTCTTTGAAACTTAGTTTGTACTTCCCATCAGCTTTAAACATTTCATAACTTATATTATTTCCCTGGATATCTACTGAGGATAGATTTAATTCAGTTTTTTTGGCAAAAATTTACATGGAACCACACACTGAAGAGATGATACAATTTACATTTATTACAAGTATGATCTTGTGTAGAGATGCCAAAGTAATAGGTGTATTACTATTAAATAAATATTACACTGCTATCAGAAGATTGTATTTTTACTTTTTTGTAGATTAAATTCCATCATAATTGCCTTCATTAGGGCCAACACTGCAAATACTTACCTTTTGAAGCTGGTGTTAAAAAAAGAGGTGGAATGTCTAAGCAAGCTATAGGGCTGAACTTGAATGTCTCTGATCAATGCATGGATTCAGGGTAAAAGTCATTTGCGTGGCTGCCATCAGTGTCCTATTAATAGGTAGTCTAGCTGAAACTTTCTCCCCTTCACAAAATGGTGAGATAAGATTTGGGAGAAGAAAAATATTTACTTCTTACAGAAGTAATTGTTCCTAATTCATCTTTTAGTGGCAGGCCACACATTGCCCCTAATAAGAGTTCATGGGGTTGAAGGCAGTTGAATCAGTCACCACTACTGTATAATTGATGCCAGCATCAAGAGGAATTTTCAGTTTAGAGAATACTAACAATCTCATGGGTATTTTTTTTTAAATTTTAGGCCAAATAGCTAGGTTCTTTACTCAGACTGAGAAGAAAATAGTTTTGTTTTTAAGCCTGGTTAATTTTTAAAACACTGAACATTTTTTCCTCCTGTTAAATCATCTGCTGAACAAGAAAGGAGATACACAACATGTTGTAGGGCAGAGAGTGCACTCTGCTGGACTAATAATGCTAATGCAAAAAGTTGGGCATTCTAGGAATACATAAGTTAAAAGCTGTGAAATCTTCCCCACTGAAGTGTAGAAGTGCTTTTAAGTGGAAGCACAAAAACATACAGATAAAGAAGCTGTAGGTCTGTAAGTCAGTCACTTTGCTTCAGAGCAGAGATCCTCACATTGATTGTTACGGGGGCACGGCAATTAAAAACGTGATATCACTAGAATTTGACCTACCTCGTCCTTGTCTTCTCTTATCACTCTGATTAAGAATTGCTACTTGTTTTGGTTTTCATAAGATAATTCTGGAATTGCAAGCAAGGCTTCAAGGACAAAGAGAGCATCCCAAGCTGCTTTCGATACTGAAGCAGCCAGGGTATGTCTACCCATCAAAAAAACTGGGGGAGTGAGACAAAGAGAGCATCCCAAGCTGCTTTCGAAACTGAAGCAGCCAGGGTATGTCTACACATCAAAAAACCTGGGGGAGTGACACTCAGAGCCCAGATCAGCTGACTTGCAGCCTGAACACAAAATTTCTACATTGCTACTTTTAGCCCCACAAGCCTACCACAGTTGACCCGAGCTCTGAGACTCTGTGCAGACATTCCCAAAATGTCCCAGGGATGCAACAATTAGGCTAGAGGACAAACTTCAAAGACAATAAGAATACTGTGATGTCACAGTAATCAGAGCCTTTCACTGGAAGGACACAAAACACTTTACTGCCTCGCAACATTTCTCTGAGACACTGAAATGTTATTGTCCCCACTGTATAAATGAGGAATCTGAGGCACAACGTAGTTAAGTTTCTTGCTCAAGAAAACACGGTGACACCTAAAGTAAGGACCCAATAAGAAAAATAAAAGGGCACATTAAGTGGGTTTGGAACAGTGTGAATGCAGAGGGGGTTACTGAGAGACATACTGACCTGAATACTGTTTAGGTTAACAGGAAAGGTTGAAAAAAATAATACATTTACAAAACTAAAGCTTACTTGGTGGAAGAGGCTCATCAATAGTTGGATAGTGATGATGGTCAGGCCTCAGGGAAGGAAGCTGGCTGACTGGCTGAGAATTATGGAGTAAAGGACAATCACCTACGGACAAGATATTCAAGATATTCATATTCATTCACTGTTTTGGAAAAACGTGGTTTAAAATTCACTACTTAAAACAAGTGAGTAAAGGAACTAAAACAAAAAACATCAAATCAAATCAAATCAAATCAAATCAAATCAAATCAAATCAAATAAAAACCCATAACAAAAACAGGGCAGGCTGTAGCTTGGTGTATTAGATGCTATGCCTTAATCATATGTCCAAGCACTGTTTTGATAATTTACATAGCAAAGAATTCTTAAAATAATGCAGACAAGGATCAGATCTCAGATTTGAATACATAATAAGAAATGAAAGGTGAAAATATGGACTCATTTACTCCAGAGATATACACCAGTGTAAGTGAGGAGAATCAGGATTGATGTCTGAGAAGTACTTCATAAACACTACCAAGCACAAGGTTTTGGGACTTCCTGCAGGAGCTTGGCAGGACCATATAAAATCCCAGCTCTAACCTTGAACTGATTCCATCTAAATGCTGAGAGCTGCTTTCTTTGCTATTACAAAAGCCTTCTTTAGAGTAAATTCACAAGAGTGTAAGTGAAGCGTAGTATCAGGCAGAAGGCATACATCTGCTGTACTTTTAAAGTAATGGAAACTAGTACATAAACAGTTCAAAATTCAAACTGTCAAGTTTGAGTGGAAGGTGGGAAGAGTGAGAGAAGGACCAAAAACATGGGAGCAAAAGATAGGGTGAGGGGAGCAAAAGATAAGACAGCAAAGGAAAGAAGGAACCTGAGACAGAGTAGGGAGATCTGAAATACAGAAAAAGAAGAGATTGAGAGATACTTTAGATGGGGAAGAGGAAGATTTTTTGAATGCTATATTGTATTAAGTATGTATATATGTAAATATGTATATCCAAATGAAATCTGTACTATTTCCAGCCAAGTTTCACGGTGCTCTGAATAAGTTACTTAGCATTTCTGATGTCACTTGAATCCCTCCAGGAACTACAACCTTACTGTGGAGATGCCACATTATTTCTTATGTTAGAATTGAATGTGAACACTTGGTACTCATATTTTTGCACTTCATGGGTTCCTAAATTCAGAGAATATTTGCACCAATCCTTTCTTAAAATCTTGAAGGTCACTTTTTCAAGCTGTGTGACAACAACCTTCCTACTAAAACCTTCAACTCCAGACATCATACATATTTTGCAGCATGTAAAAACAGATATAGTTAAAATCCAAAGTAAGCTTAGAAAGGAAGTGATCTTTAATATTTGTGATATTGCCAGGAATTTATGTCACTGTATTAAAAAAAGTAAAATAGCATAGAAGTGTACAAATAAGATCACCACAGCATATGTTGACTGGTTTAGCTACAAAATCTTACTACTCTATAAAAAGGAGCTATAATTTGCATCGGATCCCTACTTACAAACTGGGTGAGGCAACCCCACACTAGCTGCTTCCCCCCAGCAGACCAGGGAGACGCGAAGCTAGCGCCCTCCTCCCAGCAGACCAGGGAGACGCGGAGCAGCTTTTCTCAGCAGACACCTCAGCTTGAGAATAAAGGGCTGAGGGAAGTGAGGTGTGGGAGAATAAAACTGAGCTCTGGAGAAATGTTTGGCTAGAGTTTCCCCTACAATATGTACCAGTTCCGACTTACATACAAATTCAACTTAAGGACAAACCTACAGTCCCTATCTTGTACGTAACCCGGGGACTGCCTGTACATTAAAAAGTCTTCTAAAATATTTTCCCCTTAAACAGCCAATATGTAGAATATAAATATTATATGGGAAGGTAAAAGGTAATATTATATGTGAATTTAATACAAACACTTTTTTTGTAAAAATACAAAGACAAAAAACTTGTATCATTCAGCAATGAGAAAAATTATCTGGACAAAATATAAGTAAAGTAATGCACACAGCTGGATGCTCTGATGAAATGCCTTCATTAAAGCCACTAATATGAGTATAGATTAAGCTCACAATTACATGTGCCCCCTCTTTGAATACAAAAGTAGAATTATTTTAAATTACTATTCAGTGCTGCAACCATGTGTTAATGTTTACATTTTCTTGTCGCTATAGTTATGATGTCACAAATTCCCAGATTATCAATCTATATTTCTTTACTTACCTCACTATAAATGACTCCCCAGTAACATGCAAGTTAGTTACGCCAAACCAGCTGAAGCATGGGGGGTCAGTCACCTGGAGCAGATGGAGGCGACCATATCTATTGTACTTTTAATAACCACTAAATAAATTAAACAATGTGATCAACTATTGAAACATCTCACCCGATATTATAAGAACATGGTGAACTAACCTGTCATGCTGTCCTTCTCTTGTATTCTCTCTCCACTAGTGAAAGTAAAGCCACAGTGAACATTCTAGAGTGCCCTTTAAATATACTCAAGGGACATCTCCAGAAATCAGAAACATACTACTGGAGCACTGCTGAATCCATTTTTATTAGGACAGAAACTCTGTTCTCTTTCTCTGTATGTACACACACCACAAAACAAGGGAAAAAGCCACACGCACACCCATATGTGTGCACACACATACATACACACACAAATACTTCCTACATCGAAAGAGCCTCATGTGAAGTATGCTCTGTTACTGGGTGTTTCTCTCATCTCTGTTGCTGTGTAGTTCTGGGAATTTTGATTCTTTGGACAAGGTCCTACACTACAGGGCAAATAATTATGGCTATGCAATACATCCATGTTTGGAAGGAGACTCTAACCTGGCATACCCAGGATCACTCCAAGGAAGGGAGATTCTCTGGTGGCATAGTGGCTCATCCACCCCTCTTATTTCTGTTGTAGTAGGGGATATGACTGAGGGAAGAATGGTATGGTTGGGGCCAGTGATCCCTCATGGGGCTATGGTGAGCAGCTGGTGTAACTCAGACTGGAAAAGATTGGGGAACACAAAGGACTATCTTTGCAAGCTCTCTTTTTCCCTTTGCTGCACACACTGTGGGTGTATCCAAGCGTCTGAGCCTTTACTTCACCAGACTAAAAAAACGGTAGAAAAGCTGAAGAAAAACAAACGATCACATTCACTGGAATAAATCGAGTAACACTAGAGAAAAGAATTGAACACAATGAATTGAGGTGTTCAGGAAAAGAAAAGAACTAAACAACTATGATGACAACGACATATCTCTATATAAAATAGACAATGACATATCTCTATATAAAATAAACCTGGAGAGAGATGTGTCCACCATGGGAACTGTATTTGATAGTTGTACTGGCTTATGCATCCAAGGAAATATAATCTGAGCTTGATTTTAGTGAATGTAGGAAGAGAAGGTTAGGGAATTGGGTTTATAACAAAACGTTGAGTCAACCTAAACTAGAAAATATAAGGCGTTCTCCATAATAAACTCTCTGTGAGTATAGATGTGTATTTATATTACATAAACACACATACGGGGCCAGATCCTCAGATGCCGTAAATCAGTTGATTTACCCCAGTTCAGGATCTGCCCCTTCATAAACATAGATCTTGCATTTGTAAGACACACAATAGCTCACCAAATATGTAAACTTGAAAATCCCCTGGAAGAAGGGACAGACTGGTAGAACAGGTAATACTAACTTTGATTTTATGCGTAGTACCCTTTATTTATTATTATACTATTGAACAAAAAAATATTGATCTCTGATTTGTTTTTTCAGCACAGCCTCCCCCCAATACAGGTCACATCTCCCATATATTTATTAATATTGGCAATTCCTTTTTCATCTGCAACTTAGATTATCTGATGCCCCTTCTGACATCTAGATAATCGAGGTTGTTTTGCATTTTTAGTCTCAGACTCTAACCTTCTCTTCTGTTGCTTGGACCTGCTACTGGGGATTCTAGGATCTCTGTTGCTCTTTGTGAATTCCCACCATGAGCTATGAGTTCATCTGGCCACTGGGCGGAGACATCCACTTGTTCCCTGTCCAGTTCAGGGCTTTGCACTGAATCTGGCACTGACTCAAAGGCACTGTTTTCCTCTTCCTCATCATCCTGTGAGGAAAAGACTGTGCTCTCAGAAATCTTTGCACTGTCAACAGAGGAGAAACGGGTATGGCTGGAAAAGCGATTGTTACTGTCATAACAGGAGGGGCTATAGCAGGAGGTGCTGTAGCAGGACGTACTGTAGCAGGAGGTGCTGTAGCAGGATGGGCTGTAGCAAGAGGTGTCACACTCATTGTCCCCGTATGGCCTGGAACTTGATTCACTCTCACTTCCAGCCGTTGGATGTTCTCCATCCAACAGCTGCCCATTTAAGTCTGAGAGGTGTTCAACTGAGGTGCTGCGGGGCACAGTCCCCCGGCTGAAATACTCATCAGTTCCGCTTTCAGGGGGAGGATCTGCCGCTAGCGTCTCAGACTCGCTAACCACATCCTTCTCTGACACTTCCTTGACCGTTGACTCTTCGTCATTCTCGCCGCCTCCCGGCTCCTCCTCTCCATCACTACTCATCTGTGCTGAGGGCAAGCTGTGAAGCAGATTGTGGATCCGAATGTAGTGCGTTCGAGGGGTCTCAGGCTCACCACAGGCTGATGCAATCACCGTCTCCAGCTCAGACACAGGCAAGGAGCAGGGCCTGTTTTTCCTTTTCCCTGACATTCTTAGCTGCAGCTTGTTGTCTTCCTCTTCCTGGGCTGAAGCGCCTTCCTCATCCTGAATTTTCTCCAAGTACTTGACAGTCTGTATGTCTGCACTCACCTCATCGGTATCTAGTGCTTCCATGCGGGTGAAGATGTCCTCGTGTCCCTGAGTAACAGAATTGACTTTATTATTTTCCCTAAAGTCAATCTCTGGAGGAGGTGTGCAAACCAGCAGAGCCAGCTGCTCAGAGAGTTCCAGAGCACTCAGGGAAGGCAGCACTTCCCCAGGGATGGATTCCAAGGACGCAGTAGCATCTGCTGGCACTACACCAACCTCCCTATTTCCTGCTAGCTCTTCATTTAAGCTGTTCTGTTTGACTTCCCCAGGGATATCAACATTGACACTTTTCACATGACATCCATTTAGCTGCTCTGGAGATGTACTTTGTGAGGTCACTGTGCCGGTGCAGGGAGGCTCACCCAGGATTTCCTCTGCGGTGCAGTTCACAGGGCTTTCCTGCAGTTCAGCTGACTCAGGATCTGCACTAATGGAGACCTCTTCATCATCTGTGTGCAACAAGAAAAGGAATTACTCTGCTGCCACAACGATAAATACCACCCCCAAAACACACCTTTCAAGAATCATAGGTCCTGCATGTGCCTATCACAACATACAAGCATACCTCATCCCTTGCCCAAACTGCCCCAAAACAATTTTGTGAGTGGCACCAGACAATCACCGCACTTTTATATGAACTCACACAGGACAATTATAAAAGATAAAAACAGCATAACCAGGTGGACACTTTCCACAAAACAATCACGGCATATCAGTGCTCATTCAGAAAGGAAACCTGCACAATGCTTTCAAACGATGAGCTTCATTCCTTCTGCTAGACACTAAAAATCATGGAGTTAATAATGAGACTGAATTTATGGTTTATTACAGCTAACTGTAACCCACTAACCCCCTTTTTCTCCCATGATTGCAGAGATGTTGACTGGCCACTTCACTTTGAATGGTCTCTTACAATATGGCTACATCTACATTGGCAAGATTTTGTGCAAATACTTTTAATGCAAGAGTTTTTGCGTTAAAGTATTTGTGCAAGAGAGCATCTACACTGGCATGTGCTTTTGCGCAAGAGATGTGCTTTTGCGCAAAAGCATCCGTGCCAGTGTAGACACTCTCTTGTGCAAGAAAGCTCCGATGGCCATTTTAGCCATCGGGCTTTCTTGCGCAAGAAATTCATGTTGCCTGATTACACTGGCCTCTTGCGCAAGAACACTTGCGTAAGTGGGTTTATTCCTGAGCGGGAGCGTCATAGTTCTTGCGCAAGAAGCACTGATTTCTTACATTAGAACGTTAGTGTTCTTGTGCAAGAACTCGTGGCCAGTATAGACAGGCGGCACGTTTTTGCACAAAAGTGGCTGCTTTTGCGCAAAATCTTGCCAATGTAGACACAGCCTATTTGTTTACTACTTATGCTAAAAATCTGTTCCAACTTGTATTTTGCTGTATTTCCCAGACCTGAAGAAGAGCTGTGTGCTCTTACCAGCAGAAGTGGATCCAATAAAAAATATTATCTCATCAACCTTATCCTCTAACAAGAGTCATTTATTGAATTAGGGGCATGGTTTGTGGGAGTATAGGTACGCACAGACAGAAATCCAAGAAAATTCAAATGATACATTATAGTGTTATACATATAGATGACTAAACAGCTACTGAGATGTACTAATTTTTCACTAGGAAATCTCTGCACAATGCATGTAACAATTGGCAGCCTAATTCCAGTAGTGTAAAACATTGTCTTCCTGCAGCTTGTATCAGAATTCCTCCTTCCTGAGAATCCCCATCCAAAACACTCTGGCTACATCTACACTATGAGTTTTCTCAGCAAAAAATATGCTAATGAGGGACTCATTTGCATGAGTCGTGATCTTATTTACATATTTTCTGCTGCTCTGATTTTGTGCTGGGGTTTTTGTGCAAAAACAAGCTGCGTGGATGTTTTCTTTTTGTGCAAAAACCCCTTGCGCAAAACCGGCTTGAATAAATTATGCAAATGAAGTGTGGTCATATGCTAATCCACAATTTGTTTGCATAGGCTCTTGCGGGCAAAAGCCGCAGTGTAGATGAAGCCTCTGGGTACATCTCTCTATATATATTTATTTATTGTGTTTTAAAAATGTTGTAAGCTGCCTCGAATATTTTAAATAGAGAGGCGGGGAAAATATTTCAAATAAATAAATAAATAACTAATACATCTACACAGCAGCATTATTTCAAAATAATGGATGTTATTCCAAAATAACGTATTGCATGTCGACAATAAATTTGAAATAACAGGCTTCGTATTCCGACTTCAAACATTTCCAAAATTTATTTCACAAATAAATTCGAAATAATGGGCTTCTTATTCTGACTTCTGTAAACCTCATTGTATGAGGAGTAAGGGAAGTTGGAGAAAAAGTGCTTTATTTTGAAATAATGCTGTGTAGACATGCCCAGATTCATAATAAGATATTTCTACTTAAGCTACGCAATTAACATAGCTCAGGTTGCATAGCTTATTTCAAATTTAGCCCTGTTGTGTAGACACACCCTGACTCATTGAATGGGATAATCCCTTGCTTCCAGCCCACCACATGCCATTACTGCAAACCCAACCCGCACTTAACACTTCTCCAACACACTTCCACCCCATACCACTGAGAAGAAGGAATCTCCCCTTCTCTCCCTCCCTGCACATCAACACACACATGGCTTTACATTACTCTCACCCACCCCACCTCCTCTCAGGGGTTCCTCCCTATCAGACATAAAACCTGTCGCTCCTAGCTACTCGTCTTCCACCACCACCAAACTGGTCCAATTATGCTCTGAAACTGAGAGAGATAACCCAATAAGCAGGAATCAATTTTTCCAACTACTAGGGTACGTCTACGCTACATGCCTCTGTCGGCAGAGGCATGTAGATTTGTTTATTCAGCAAAGGTAAATGAAGCCGCAATTTAAATGATCGCGGCTTCATTTACATTTACATGGCTGCCGCGCTGAACCGACAAACAGCTGATCAGCTGTTTGTCGGTTCAGCGCGGCAGCCATGTAAATGTAAATGAAGCCGCGATCATTTAAATCGCGGCTTCATTTACCTTTGCCTACAACCCTAATCTACATGCCTCTGCCGACAGAGGCATGTAGTGTAGACACAGCCCTAATGTAACTATTTTCTTTCAAAGTAAGCACACATAGCCTCATAAGATTCCCTGAGCAGTACCATTGGATCCTCACACTGAAATCTAGTCTCAAGAAGGCACTAGTATTACAAGTTTTCCCAATAACTAGAGCAGGCCAAGAAATGAAAACATTTTTTTCTGAAAATTTTAATGGAAAAATGTCAAAATCGGAAAATTTCCAAACAGCTCTATAACTCCTAAAAAACATTGTACTCATAAGGTGTTCAAGCCCACAATCCTCTGTGCACATATCAAAACATATCTAATCACAAAAGGAAGATACTTGTACTGATTGAATTAAAAGGTTAAGTCCTTCTGGAAAAATGAGATCTAAAACCATGATAAAAGCTCCTTCTTCTTCCATGGTTTCCCTTTGTCTTTCTTGTTATGTTATTGTTTATTTATTTTGCTATCCTCTATTTATTTTGCTCTTATAATATTGCCATAATTTCTCACTTAAAATTTGTTATGATCTGGAAAATACCTTCTCCTGTCCGCCAACTGGCAATGGTCACAAATATAAGAACTGAATCAGTCTAAAACCAAGTGTATCGTGTAAAGCTAAACCTTGGTATGCCTGAAGATTGGATGTGACATGATCAGAAACACTATTTGGTGCATTTTTGTTGCAGTGGATGAGTTTTTGCTGATATTCATAAAGATCCTGATACTTTGACCCTAGAAGAACTTTATGCTATTCTAATACTGATATAGTAGAGTCTCAGTTGTAAGCAATATAAAAACATTGCAGCGAGGGAGGTTTAACTGTCAGAGTGGTTAAGCACTGGAATACATTGCCTAGAGGGGTTATGTAATCTCCATCACTGGAGATATTTAAGAGCAAGTTAGACAGTCGCCTGTCAGGGATGATCTGGACAGTGTTTGGTCCTGCCGTGAGGGCAGGGGACTGGACTTGATGACCTCTTGAGGTCCCTTCCAGTTTTATGATTCTATGATCAAGATACCCCCAACCCTCTTAGATCCCTATGTTGCCTAAGTACACCTTGGATCTGGGTGTATAGGAGAAAGCAGAGCTACTCCCTTCCCTAGAGTACTGATGTGGCAGTCTGCAAAACCTTAGCTGTAACACTCAATCCTTCCCCTGAATCATCATTGGGGAGGGCACTGTTCTTTAATAGTGTAGGCCAGTAGTAAATTACTTCACACTCTAGGAAAAAAGGAAAATCAGGGGACGGATTGTGCCTCTTGTGATGGGGGTAGCTTATGTACTATCATTTGCTCATAGCCCTGCCTTTGGGCCCATTTTAGTCCTAAAAGAATTCAAGCCTCAGTAGGTGAAAAGAATGTAAATGAAAAATCCAACTCTCTGTAAATAAGGCATTACTGAAGAAGCCAATACCTGGATGGATAGAAGAAGTTATCTCAAACCGAAACTGCAGCTGGCCGCTGACATGATCTGTTGGAAGCCTACGTCCCAGAGTGTAGCTGACAACCCTGTCCCTGTAACAAATCAAGTACAGTTACAGAAACTGTAAACTCATCAGTATCTACAGAGAATGGAGAAAGCTGTTGTGTCTTTCACAAACACCTGACATTTTCCAAGGTGATTCATGTTGTATTATTCCAACCAGGAGTGTCTCTTAGTGGGTAAGGGAAGGAATCACTAGGAAAGGGAGCCAATGTTTTCAGTTAGGCAGGGTTTCCCAACCTATGGGTCGGGACCCAAATATGGGTTGCCATTACATGTCAAAAGGGTCGCCAAGTGCCTCCTCAGGTGGCTCTGCCCCCTTTGTTCCCCCCATTTTTGTATTGCCTTGGGTCACCAAGTTTTCCTGAATTGTCAAAATGGGTCCCCATTTTGATCTGACCACATGTCTAACTTCTCTTCATTTCCTTCCCCTTTTCTTCTGTGTCAAATTCAGGGTAATTAGTTCTGCCCTCAATGTCTTGTACAGCCCCATCTCCCTGTACCTGTTTCTATGTTCTTGTTTTTTTCTGCTCTCTTCTTTGCCTTTCTAGTTACTCAACAAATTGCCCCTTCATGTCTTCCTCCCAACTCCTGTTTCCATTCAGTTAGTATACCAAGAACACATCCCCAGGCATTCATGATGCCTCCACTCCTTCCCTCTTCAAGCCTCTTCTGAAGACATATCCAAAAATTCCACAATCCCTCAACCTTCTCCTCAGAGAAGAGTAAAACTAGAAAAAAGATTCACTCTCCATTTCCCCCAACTGAAGCTTAGTCAATGTTTGTAAACTATTGAGCATGAAGGGTTTTAAATATGAATGCCTTCTGGAGAAGCACATTTTAATTTCTATCAGTGTGCATATGCAGCCAGGGTAGATTTACATACATTTATAACTTGAATACATGAGATTAGTCTAATATTAATGTAAACCTGTGGCTTGTGTAATTGTCATTTCTGCACATATCTTTCACTGAGTTTGTTTGCTCCAAGGAACCCAAGAGATGAAATAAAGTGAGGATTTGGACTCACCAGGAAAAAGAAAAAACAAACAAACACCAAAACAAACCAACAACAACCAGCATGGCCTTTTCCTGGATGGTCCCACATTTACAACAAGGAAGTAAATTCTAACTTAAATCATCAACATTAATCAGACAAATTCCAGAAAATTTGTAATGATATTTTAGCAATATTATTTGATTATATCATTCTGTTTCAGTCATGGACTTTGCTCTTCTTTTAACAGTAACAGTGTGATCCTTAAGTAACACAAAGTCACAAAGAAAACAGATTTACCCTATTGCGTGTCTCTCCAGCAGGCGTTGCACTGGCATGGAAAGTTTCCCCAAGAAGCGTTTAATGATTGGCCGGCTCTTTGCAAACTTGTCCTTAACTTCTATTTCCAGAACATCCGTGGGAAGGGAAACAAAGCTGAAGTGCTGCAATTTAAAAAAAAAACAAAAAACAATGAAAATGAAATAAGTGCCTTTTGTATGTGAAGTTCAAGCTTACAGAGGCTATGTCTACTCAGCAGCGTTATTTCGGAATAGCTGACATTATTCTGAAATAACAGACTGAATCTACACATAAGCAGTTACTTCGACATAATGTTGAAATAATGTTGAACTGGAGGACTGCTTACTGTAACTCCTGTAACCCTCATTTTACAAGGTGTATGGGAAGTCGGAGGGAAAGGCTCTCTCTTGAAATAACTGCTGTGTAGACAGCACCAAAAGTCGAAATAAACTATTTCAACTTATGCTATGCAATTAGCGTAGCTGAAGTTGTGTAGCTTATTTCGAGTTCAGCCCTGCTGTGTAGACGTGCCCTAACACAGCAGGAAGATTCAGCCATTAAACAGCTTCATAGAACGAGGACAAAATCAATATGAGAGGCATGTCTCTGTGGAGATTTAGTGTGTGGCAAGCCAGTGTGTAAAATCTATAGCAGGCCCTGACACATAGTAACTGTACACATGGATCATGCTGCCACTGCATGTTCTGTAGTGTGTTTTGACCTATTGCAGTTTGAAAAGGAACAAGATCACAGTGCACCGCAGAACTTTTAATACAGGGTGGCAGGTCCAGTCCACTGAGTGTGAGGCAGGCTGAGGCACTCTAGATTCACACCCCATTTTTCCATTCACTAAAACACTGTATAGACAACTCTCTGTTAAAACATACGCTTGGATCCAGGGTCCAAACCTATACGATACTGAGCCCTCTGTCAAAGGAGCTGAGTAGAAACAACTCACAGGAAATGCTCAATCATTGCAGGGTCAGCCTTTGTAGTTTTCTGGTTGTGGATACTGACAGGAATTATGCACATTATTATATGCATTATTAAACTCCAGTAATGCTCAACAGCCCTCATAAGGGCTCCCACATGATAAGCGTTATTCAAACAGATGCTAGATGCAAGACTGTCTATGTCCTAAAAATTATAATTGACCCAAACACATTGGACCGATCCCAGTTCAATCCCAGTGGAGACCTTATTTTTCAGAAAAAAAGAAGCTGCAAGTACAATTCTGCTAACAATGCGAATATCTAGGTGTAAGATATACACTAATCATATAATATTGTCTAAAAACAGTAGTTTTGCACACATAAAATACAATGGCAGCAATTTACTCACAAACCCATCGTGTCTCCCATGTTATCCCAATTTGAGGCCCTGGAGTCACTACCCTAGAGCCTGAACTCCTCATTTTATCCAAAGGCCAGGTACAGAACAGGCAGACGCAAGCAGCACGTCACCTCCCTCCACAATGTGCCTGAGCCCTGAATTAGCAGGGCAATGCCAGAACAGAGAATGCAGATTTGTATTCATGCCCCTTCAGTGTTTCATTTCTTAGCCAAGACTGTCAAGTGACAATGCCAGTTGTGGTGGTGCTTTTGTGGTGGTGCTACTAGGTACCAGAGTGATACTATCAACTTATTTCACACCATCCCTCCCCTCCAGGAGTCATCTGATATTTAATATTTAGGCCAGATTTGAACCAGTGATCTCTAGGGCAAGGATGCTCAGCTACATATTTTTCTATCACTTTTACATGTGTACATAGTACTGCAAAAAGCACTTAGTGCTAAATACTAACTTAAGAGTGGAAGGAGGGGTAAATTTCAAGCTGGAGAGCACCAGGGGGCATGAACAGTTTCCATTCCTAGAGACAATCAGAGCAACTGCACTGGAGTGGACATTGGCCCCTGCGCAGGAGAGCTTTGAAATACAGTCAAGGCTCTGTCACTGTTTTAGCAGCAGACCCTGTCCAGGAGGAATAACCAATAGCACATCTCCTAGTGGGGCTGGCCTTTCCCTTTTCTTGATATTGGAATTCACTTCTGGGGCAGTACAGACTCTGGGTTCCCTACCAGCTTGAGAGGTCATGGTGGCTTGCCCCACTCCACCTTTGTTCCAAGTTTTTACTATTTTGGTGAGTTTTAAATAAAGGGAGGGAATCTCACATAGGTGTGTGAATGGCTCTGAATGAATATGAGACTATTGCTTGATTTCACCTAAAAGGCCATTATCCAAACATTATCAAAATGGTGTATTAAAAGAGTTCTAAGTATCTGAAATAAATTTCTAACATTCCCACCATCAACGGCAACCCAGATTTCTTTATAATGGATAGCACTTATTTTGCCAAGTTACTCAAATCATTATTTAAAGATTTCAAGTTACAGATAGTCCACCATTTACTTTAGACCAATAAGGGACCTGCACCCCATGCGAACCCCCATAAGGCCTCTGTTAATCTGATCTGGGGGGAAATTCCTTTCTCACCTCCCAAATACAGCGATCAATTAGACAATGAGTATATGAAAAAGACCCACCAGCCAGATACCTGGGAAACAATTCTGTGCAGTGACTCAAAGCCCTCCCCATCTAGATTCCCATCTTCAGCTTTTAAAGATATTTGCTAGCAGCAGTAGCTAATATGCACATGCCACCGTATACAATCACATTACACCACCCTTTCTATAAATTTATCAAGCTCAGTCTTGAAACAGTTTATTAGCTAGCCTCTTTGCATTGATATAGAGACAGTGTAGATGTTTCTACTTTCCTTCACTCACTAATGTTGAGTGGCAGGAAAATCGAGTAAGAAAGGATACAGCACTGCATAAAGGATCTAGATAGGGTAGGAGAATGGACAACAAGAAGAAGGACTGTGCCAATAAAACTGACGATGACAGACAGATAGGCAATACTGGCAGTAAAATGACTTCACTTATTTGGTTGAGGAATCTGAGGCTGTGTCTACACTACATGCCTCTGTCGGCAGAGGCATGTAGATTTGGGTTGTAGGCAAAGGTAAATGAAGCCGCAATTTAAATGATCGCGGCTTCATTTACATTTACATGGCTGCCGCGCTGAGCCGACAAACAGCTGATCAGCTGTTTGTCGGCTCAGCGCGGCAGCCATGTAAATGTAAATGAAGCCGCGATCATTTAAATTGCGGCTTCATTTACCTTTGCCTACAACCCAAATCTACATGCCTCTGCCGACAGAGGCATGTAGTGTAGACACAGCCTCAGATTCCTCAACCAAATAAGTGAAGTCATTTTACTGCCAGTATTGCCTATCTGTCTGTCATCGTCAGTTTTATTGGCACAGTCCTTCTTCTTGTTGTCCATTCTCCTACCCTATCTAGATCCTTTATGCAGTGCTGTATCCTTTCTTACTCGATTTTCCTGCCACTCAACATTAGAGCCATGTGTGGCGATTACATGAGCATCTTCCTAAGTTTAAAGGTCTCTTATTGGATCATGCCAACTCCCATCCCTGGAGTCTTTTTCACGCTCTACTCAAGGTGAAGTTTGTCTCATGATAATAGTCCTCTCTTTGTGAATCAACAGCGGTCAGACATTCCACTTCCCTCCCTCTTCTTCTCTAGGCACAAGATGAATCCCACTAAAGATCACCTGAGGTTCTATTTGTTTAAACATCCCAGTCTTGTGTAGTTTTCCTTGATGCATCCCAGGGAGAATCTAGCAGTATAATTTCTTTCTATGTGAAAGAAAATCTGTGGAAAATCACATTAGGAGACTCTGCAGCCTTAGTTCCACATCCCACATCTTAGTTCTCTGCAGATAATACATCCCTCTGTTCTCTGGATGGTGTTGATGTTTCTGGCCTTGGTTCTTCTGGCTGCAAGTGTTCTTGTCTTCTGTTCTCACCTGCAATATTCTGCAAGTTATCCTCTATCATCTTGGGGCTCTGACCCTGACTACCACCATTAAGTCTTTGGCTTTGTCTACACTGTGAGTTTTTGCGGCAGAAAATATACTAATAAGGAACTCATTAGTATACGTTGCGATCTCATTAGCATATTTTCTGCTGTTTCTTTTTTCGCAAGAGGTTTTTGCATAAAAAGAAGCAGTGCAGCCACTTCTGTTTTGCACAAAAAACCCATTTTGTGCAAGATCCTTGTGCCTCTCCTAGAGACAAATAGAATTTTTGTGCAAAACAGAAATGGCTACACTGCTTCTTTTTGCGCAAAAAGAAATGGCAGAAAATATGCTAATGAGATCTCTACTTAAATGGCAGAAAATATGCTAATGAGATCGCTACTTATATTAATGAGTCCCTCGTTAGCATATTTTCTGCCACAAAAACTCACAGTGTAGACATAGCTTTCTATTCTTTTTGTATGATTAACCAGACTTCTCTTTCTTGCTCCCCAATATTCTGTTACTGTCTGCCTCTCCCCTTCATTTTGCACCTATGTGATTCTGTTCATCAACTCTCTTTCTCCTTCCTCCGCTATATTCACATGCAACCTCTGACTACTTTCCCTATCCAACAGGTTGCTCTCACAATTCTCTTTTCCAACATCCACCTGCAAGTCGTGAGTTTTTCCTTCAGCCTCCACTTTCCTTCTCTTCATCATCTGAACAAATATTCACAACGCAATCATAGTTTCTAGCTTTGTTTCCAAACCTTGGATCTTTTCCTCTATCAGATCTGTCAGGCAGCACTTCATGCAAACAAATCAACCCTCTCCAGAATACTATATATCCTGCCAGTCTCTGTCACAGATGCCAAACTCTCCCAACTGCAGACTATAAAGCTTTAAGAACTGCAGTGGCTGGTGGCTGTAAGGAGTAACTGCACTTTTGAGCGCTGGAACATACTGACAAAAAAACAAACAAAAAACCCCCCCAAAAAACCCAGTAGGAACCCATTGCAGCTAGCGGTAAAGGAGTGAACCCAAAAATAAAAGTAGAGTTAGTGGTAGCTTGTAAGTAACAACCTATTCTCTGGGCTAAGACAGTTCATTTTTGTCAATATTTGTTTACTTGCTGCTATTCTCATCCAGTTAAGGTCAATGTCCAACATTTGCAAAAGTGGCTCATAATGTTGGGTTCCTCAGTTTTATGTCATTCAAATTGACTTATCTTAACAAGGCCTGGTTTTCAGTAAGAGCTGG